ATATACAAAAGGTTAAGGATGGCAAGAAACAAAACACACCTTACATAAATGTTAGAAAGGGGTATATTACATGAAATTGTTTAACTCATTCTCTGAAATATGTTTCTTTATAAGATAAAGCCAAGTCTTCCTAATAATTTCCTTGGTTATTCCAATAACCTCTTGCCTCAAGCATCACTTTTCTTTAGTAAATGCTATAGAACTATTGTTTTGTTTTCACTCAGCAGACTTCTCCTTGACTGTGAATGGCTAGCTCTTGCCTATGTTCATAGACATATATTACTTTCCCCACTGCTTAATCTTGTCTATCTACGGGATCCTTCCATCCATAAGTCTTCAAGAGTAATCTAAGTCCGCCTTAATCATAGCATTTTTTAAATCTCAAGTTACATTATTTATAACAATTTTATATACATATTAACTTGTTTCAATTTCTAAAAAATATCCTTGTTTAAGTTTGATCCTTAGCTCTAAATACAAAAATTCGGGGATGATAATTATTTATTTCCCATCTTTTCCATCAGAAGATTCAAACTGACAAGAGGATGACTATATGTTTATCACCTTAATGATAATAGCTCAGCATGCTACACATAGCAAAGTTTCAAGTCAAAGTTGCCGATTAGCTGCATTCAGACATTGAGAAAACATGTAACAGAACCTTTGGTGAGAAAATAATTTAATAGTGAATAAATCTGGTAGCATAGTGGTTACGAATTGGGCTGCTAACCTCAGAGTCAGCAGTTCAAAACTACCAGCTGTTCCGTGGGAGAAAGATAAGGCTTTCTGCTCCCGTAAAGATTTACAACTTCGGAAACCCTGTACAGGGTCGCTATGAGTCAGAACCGACTCCATGGCACAAAACTGTAACAGCAACAATGTCCAATTGGACTCCTGGTGCGGCTCTATAGGATCAGCACTGGACAGCTAACCACTAAGTTGGGGGTTCAAACCAATCAACTTGGATACCCTATATAGGGTTGCTATGGGTCAGAACCAACTCGACAGCACTTAACAACAATAACAAAGCTTCATTCAGGGATGAAAAAACAAAGACGTCTCTTTAAACTTCTTCATCTAAAGATTTAGACTGAAATATTATCAAGGGTTTAAAAGACTATTAATTCCAGGAGTTAAAAATAATTATGTTTCTTAGGAGAAAAGCATAGTGCAAGAAAGAAAGAAGGAAATTTAAGGTCAACACACCAATTACAGCAACAACAAATTCAGTATATAAAGGGGAAGAGAACTCACATTAACAAAGTACTTACTATGTGTTGAGTATGGCAAGGAGCTATCCATAAGCTCATTCATTTAATCTTCCTAAAACTCTTTAGAAGTAGGTGCTGCTACTCTTATTTGACAGATAGGAAAACAGATTAACTTGCCCAAAGGTACACTGCTTGTAAGTGGCAAGAGAAAAGATGTATTCCTAGAATCCATGTTACTATAAATTTCAGAGGAAAAGCATAGATACCCAAGAGTAAAAGAAGTGTCGAGACAGAAGAAAGCATTTTCATAAAGAGAAGTGCATTCACTTAAGGGTTCACAAAGAGAACTGTTGTTGTTATGTGCTGTTATGGAGTCGGTTCTGACTCATAGTGACTCAACCTGTACAGGGTTTCCAAGGCTGTAACTCTTTACGGGAGCAGAAAGCCTCATCTTTCTCCCACGAAACAGCTGGTAGTTTCGAACTGCTGACTGTGAAATTAGCAGCCTGACTTGTAACCACTACGCTACCAGAGCTCCTTATAAAGAGAGTAGTGATTGAACAACTTTGATTTCTACATGATGGTGCAAAGTAGAATTTCTTTCTGATATGAATTGATTTTAAAGTTACACTTGAAAAGTCAGTGAGTTAGTTATGATGTTGTTGGTGGTGAGTGCCGTCTAGTCAGTCTGACTCATAGTGACCCTGTATAGTGTTTCCCAGAAGCAGTTATTAGTTTTGAACCACTGATCGGTAGGTCCAGTGCTTATCCAACAATGCCACACCAGGACTCCAAGTGAGCTACCATAGTTACATATATAAGTATATATAGCTATTATAACTATTAAGTTAGCTATAATAGTTAAGTCAAAACCATTACCTAAGTACATAAATGCAAAGGTGATCAAAGTAACTCAGGTTCCAATGATACAGTGAACATCTTAGTGATGTGCATATCAACTCTCCACAGATATACTGTGTTAATTCGGTAAAACAGCTAAGCACAGTACTAAGACAGTGTGGTAAAGATGATTTTCTTTTATTTTTCCATACCTTTTCTAATACAAATAATTGCACAGAAATTCACAGATTATTTGTTTATTTAATATTCAGTTGGGTAAAACAAATAAGCAATAAAGAAGTGTACTTTTCAAAGACCTTGTTCAGAAACTGGCGTTTTCCCTCCTTTGACACTGGATACCAGAGGCCAAGATCCAAGTAACAGTAATTCCAAGCACTCCAAGAAACATGAAAATGTTATATATACCATGACAGACTTGAGTAGCACTTAAATTATGCTTTTATTTTTTCCTGTTTTCACATTCTCCACTTACAACTTTCAAGAAATATAACGTAAGTTTCATTCAATAATCCAACAACCTTTTGACTAAAACTCAAATATCAATGTATTTCAAATTTATAGACATAAAACATAGATCAATGTTAGTATAAAATCTTTTACCTTCTGGATCATAGGTTTGAAAAACTCTCCTGGCTTGTTCTGAAGGTGCCTCAGGGGCAACTAAAGTCATATCCTGAAAAGATATAAAGCAATCTATCAAGCAGCTACAAAACTATGAAATTAAAAAAAAACAAAAACCTGAAACTAGGATTATTGTTGTTAAGTGCTGTCGAGTTGGTTCTAAGGGTAGAGTAAGGAAATTAGACTACCTGTGACTAGATTAGTCAAGAAGTCTCCTGCATAAAATGGGACCAATACTTCAGCCACAGAGAATTGTGAAACTTGCATGTGATGCTTTATGTATAACAACTGAAAATGCTATTATACACATATGCCTGTTGCTGTCAAGTCGATTCTGACTCACAGTGACCCTATAGGAAGAGTTGTTAAATTCTGTGGATTGGTTCTGACTCAGAGCTACCCCATACAGGGTTTCCAAGGAGTGGCTGGTGGGTTTGAACTACCAACCTTGTAGTTCAAACTGACATTACATTCACTGCTTACCCTACAGCACCACACAGGCCTTAATAGGAAGAGTAGAACTGCCTACAGGGTTTCCAAGGTTGTCATTTTTATGGTAGCTGACTGCTACATTTTTCTCCTACAGATGGTTGGTGGAGTTGAACAACTGCCAACCTTAACCACTGTGCCACTAGGGTACTTTATATTAGGGAGTTTCAAAAATTTGTGGGAAAATTCCATTTTCTTTAAATTCCACTTTTTCCATGAACTTTTTGAATCTCCCTTGCATTATATATATATGTTGTTGTTAAATGCCATCAAGTTGGTTCAGGCCCATAGCGACCCTGTATTGGGTTCCAAGAAGCTGGTGAGCTTGAACTGGCAATCCTGTCATGCAAACCGACTTTGCAGTCCAGCGCATTAGCCCACAACGCTCTGCCAGGAATCCATTATAAAGACACAATTTCCGCCCCCACCCCAGATTGTATTTTTATTATACAGATGTTGTTGTTGTTATTATGTACCATGGAGTCAGTTCTGACTCATAGTCGGTTCTGACCCTGTACAGTGTTTCCGAGGCTGTAAATCTTTATGGGAGCAGAAAACTTCATCTTTCTCCCATGGAATGGCTGGTAGTTTCCAACTGCCAACCTTGAGGTTAGCAGCCCAATTCTAACCACTATGCTACCAGAGCTCCTTATTATACAGATAGTTACTATAAAAATACAATCTGAAAAAAAATTACAGATTTGCTACACATTATTGTTAGAAAAGAAGAAATAGTAGTTTAAAATATATTCTAATAGTTTTTAAATATTCAAAGATAAAATTCCCAGACTATGGCAATACAGAAATTATATAGGAATACATTTGAGATTCATCACATCAGTAATATGTGAATACCAATATCTAGTCAAAGATCAACTATTCAAGTTCTACCAAGTCTACAATCTTAATTTTTCTTAAAGGAGGCTCTGAACAGTAAAATTATTTCTTTCCCCAATAATTCTCTATCATGACTAACTTTTTAGCACATTAAGTAAAACTTCTATTTACCAAACTTCTAAACACAAAAAATTCAATATTATCCTTGATTCTTCACAAATGTTCACTCCACATATCTAAATTGCTATCTACTCTTTAGCAAAATGAGCCTAGAATTTAGGCTCCATTTTTTTCCCCTTCTTCTAGTGGTTGTTGTTGTTGTTGTTAAGCGCCTTCAAGTTGGTTCCGACCCATAGCGACCCTGTATAGGGTTTCCGAGGAGCGACCCGTGAGCTTGAACTGCCGACCTTGCAGTTCAAAACGGCTTTGCAGTCTGGTGCATTAACCCCCAGTGCCACAGTTTGGCCTAACCCTTTACCTATAATTGCATTAACTCAAACAAACCTCACTAGAGAACATCTCTTCACATCACACCTTTTTTTAAGAAGCTGTGGGATGTAAATTTTAAATGAAGTGTAAAATGTTGTGGTGTAGTAAATTATTTTATGTTACTTCCAGCCTTAATCTTTGTAAACTCCCACTAAACAACTTTTTCTTGATGAGTCTGTATAAGAAGAGGTGGGGGAAGATGCTGATGGATTATATGATTCAGTTGTGATAGTTAACAGAGTTAACTGTGATTATAAGAACTTGGAAATCTAACATAGGTTTAAAATAAACCATCTCAGAAGGAGAAGGAGGGGTGGAGGGATCTCCCCAGCATCAAATAAGAGCAGGGAGTGGACCCAGAGATTCCTTGGCACTGAGCCTGAAGAGTCACAGGAGTGGCAGAGGAGCAGCAGCAGCGCAATCAAGAGCCAGAGCACAAGAAGGCGCAGTGAGCTGTCCAGACCATAGAGCAAGAAAAGCTGAGCAGATTTGGGCAGGAAGCTTGCTTGCAAAGTGGGCTGCCTCCAAGCACTTTAACTGGGGAAGCTAGGTTTGAACTATGTGCCTGTAAAGTGAAGGTTATGGTGGAATAGTGTGTCTTGTGGCCATTTATCAGAAGCCCTCAAAGAACTCAGAAACATTGCCTGGGAGGAGGGAAGCCTGCCTGTGGGCATGGCTAAGGAGGGGCTGTCTTAACTAGAACTGGGCCCCGAACATCTCTGAACCTAAATTGTAATCGGTTAACTTTCCTAATAAACCCCATAATTGAGATAGAGTCTGATCTCTGAGTGGTCACTGCAATGAACCCAACTAAGTAGACTGCGCTGTGGGAGGGGTAATTGGTATCGTTTCTTTGCAATACTGTTCTCCTGTAGAACAAATTTTTATAATAAATGTACACAGGAGCTTGAAAAGATAATGGAATTAGAAGACTATGGAATTTTCCCATAAACTTCTTGAAGCCCCTTTGTACTAATTAACTTTTGCCCTAATGGACTCACTCTGTTCACAAGTAAAAATGAGAGCAGTTCTTACCTAATGATGAAATTAGGTTTCTGAAAACATTCCTAAAATGTTCCATTTATATCAACAGGAATGGGAATTATAACAAGGCAATGTATTTACGTCCTTAAACATAAAAGATAAAATACTAACACCATCTGATGTTTTGTAACATTAGTAATAACTTCAGTTGGTAACAATATATCATTAGCTATTTCTCATTTACCATTTGATCAAAACTGCATTTTCACTGATGCGATGTATTTTGCAGATAATGTGCATTTTATGTGGCATGCTTTACTCTGGCCTTTCACTACTTTCCAGATTTTATGATCCAGTCCTTTGTTAGACACTTGGATTCTAATCTTTTTCCTATTAGCAATGCTGCACAAAATAACTCTGAGCATGCCACTTCATACATGTGTAGTTGTGTCTGTAGAAGAGATCACTACAGTTTGATTGCTGGGTCAAGCAAGAATCTATTTGTGGGTTTGGTAAACTGACAGATCCTTGAGGGATAGTCATGCAAACTACTGTGAACGATATTTCCAAAGCCCCTTTTCCCTTTTTCTAATACAATACCAATACAGCTCTCATTAACTGAGCCAAAACTAGGATTGTAGTGTCAGTTGTTCTTTCTGTCAGACTTGTGAGGTGCTGTCAAGTGGGTTCCGACTCACAGTGACCCTGTGTAGGGTTTCCGAGGAGCAGGTGATGAGTTTGAACCATCATCCTTGCAGTCCAGTACATTACCCTATAGCACCACACCAGGACTCCTCTGTTAACACTCAGTGAGCAATTATTAACACTAGGGCTATTAATTTCTTAGCTTCCTTTTTCATGTTCAAACATTAATCACAAAATACATTTATTGTATTAAGCTTTAGTTTCCTTAAGTATTTCCAATGTACTAATTTTTTTTTTTTAATTCTCTTTAGAATACTTGTTGAAATTTCTGTATGCTCACTACCATAAATGCAATTGTGGATGAGGAGAAGCTGTAGCTTAGATTTTATTCAATGATACATTTATAGAGGAGTAAGATGAAGATATGGTCATTGTTTAAATTCCTCATCTATTCCATTTCAACCTCTCTCAGTAAGTGATGAAGTTTGAAATGAGTCATAAAATATAAACTATATTCTGCAGAGATGTAAACAGAATTTATTGATGAAAAAGACAAGAATCATTTTAGGGGTTGGGATGGTAGGAAATAATTAAAGCATTACCTTAATATTAAATCAAAGTTGAGATTTAAGAAATCATCACTGTTTATATCATGTCAGGGAAGCAAGGAAGAGTCCACAATATTGTAGCCACTGAAAAAGCTTTATATCAAATCCCTTGGGCTTTAAAGACCTCGGGAAACTCGAGCACAAAAATTAAAGTGAATTAACTGATGCACTCAATAGCTAAGTTCCAAGTGTTACAAATAAAAAATAAATTATGCTGGCCGCACTCTACCACAAGGTCAGTTTGAACAGCAAAGGTGTTCAAACCCACTAGGTGCTCATCAGAAACCCTAAACAGTGCCACTATGAGTCGGAATCAATGTGACAGCACTTAATAACAACATGCTAATACAGAGAGGAATTAAGGCAGACTTAATGAGAAGTTCATTGTATCTCTCTTGCATGGTGGTATAAACAGATAAAAGACTCTGGGGTTTTTAAAAAAATGTGTCATTCTTGTTTAAACGAACAATATACATTGTTATTATTAGGTGTCGTAGAGTGACCCTACACACAAAGAAGCACTGCCTGATCCTATGCCATCCTCACAATTGTTACAATAGAGCCATTACTGCTGTTATTCTGTCAAACCATCTTATTGAGGGTCTTCCTCGTTCTCTCGGACCCTCCACTTTAGCCAGCATGATGTCCTTCTTCAGGGACTGGTCCCTCCTGATAACATGTTCACAGTATTAGAGGCGAAGTCTTGCCATTCTGCATTCTGAGGAGCATTCTGGCTGAATTTCTTCCAACACAGACTGCTTGATTTCTTGGCAGTTCATGTTGCTTTTAATATTCTTTTCAAAAACCATAATTGAAGTGCATGGATTATTCTACAGTCTTCCTTATTCACTGTCCAACTTTCACATGCTTATGAGACTAATGAAAATACTATGGAACACCTTAGACCTCAAAATGGCATCTTTGCTCTTGAACACTTTAAAGAGATCTTGTGCAGCAAATTTTCCCAATGCAATATGTCGTTTAATTTCTTGACTACTTT